TCTCTCTCTCTCTCTCTCTCTCTCTCTCTCTCTCTCTCTCTCTCTCTCTCTCTCTCTCTCTCTCTCTCTCTCTCTCTCTCTCTCTCTCTCCGCCGAAGAAGTCAGAGCACTGGGAGCGGAAGAAGAAAGGCGGTGGACTGGAGGAGGAAGAGGAAGAAGATCTCTCTCTCTCTCGCTCTATACCAAGTACTGACCTGCAAAAGGTGGTGCCTTGATGCAGGTGCGGATGCGCTGAAGACGAAGCTGGAGCAATGGCTACGCAGGTAAGTCCCAGGTGAGTCCTCAGGCCGCCATCACCATCTCTCCCTCCCTGCGCTACTCTACTCTATCACCGCCCGGCGCTGGAAAACTAGTCCTATCGTCGACTACTACAGTCCTGCTGTCGTCCGGAGTATGCCTCCTCGATCCTCTACCCAAGAATGCGGAACTGAGGCCGGACCCAGCTATATGTAGCGCTGGGTCGGCCTCAGCCGCTGAGTCCTGGCGCTCAAACTGAGGCAGGGCCTCAAAGTTTGGCGCCCAAACCGAGGCTGCTCCAGCGCCTACCGAAACGGCGCGGCCTTCCTTGGCGCCAAAACGTGCGCAAGGGCCTGTACCCAAAAGGGGCCCTACCGGCCCTCTAAACTGGTACCGGTCCTACTCGGCCTACCGAACCTGCGGACCCTGCTGAGGGTCGAAACAACACGGACCCTACACCTACGGACCCCTATTCTACCTGGTCGGGCCCTGCTGGGCCCGTGTGGGACTGAGTATGCCACAGGAGCAAGTGTGCCGCTTCGGTGTGCCGCTTTACCTTTGTTTCTACCCTTTACCTTTGTTTCATAGATTGGAAAAACTATATACATTTGTGCAAGTGTGCCGCTTCGGCGGCAGACGGGTGTGTGGGCACTTCCCGCTCAACCACACAAATGTCGGGAACCTTGGACCTTCTATAATATTCCTCGTCCATACATTTTTTTATTTATGGATGGTTTGTGATGGTACGGGGACGGAATGAGAGAGGGAGCTTGGGGATGTTGACTAACACACACACACACATGAACATGCACACGCAGGAGTGCACACACACACACACACACACACACACACACACATCCTGAGCAGGCTGCCGGGGTTCAACCTCCTGACGAGTGGGTGAAAGTCCAACGAAAAGTCTGGCACAGGCATGCTTTTTTCAAGTGTATAACGAATATGACAACACACACACACACACACGCACACACACACACGCACACACACACACACACACACAAAAGCTGTTCTTTGATAAACTCATGAGACCCTGAGCCGACGAACCCATCACGCCTCTTCGTGAAAATGGGTATACTGTGTGTCTGACAAAATGCAGACTTGTGGTTGGTTTCTCTTTCACTTGAGAGCAGAACAAGGCAGGAGGACTTGTTCTGGTCAAATCAGATACGCCAAGCATATGTGGGTGACTGGTATGGGTATGGTCTGGCATCTGTGGAGAAAGGGGGTAACCAGATAACATGGGTATCATCCCAATGGCATGGCATGATGTACAACATTGGGAAAAGGAAAGTCTCTGCGCCCCCTGGGAGTATGTGAAGATGTTCACTTGAACTTCAAAATGTTTCATCTCCTTCATCATTTCTCTGTACTGAAAGAGTAAAACACTTCAAACAGTTTCAGGAAACCCTGAGGGAAGAAAACCGAGCAAGGACAGAGGGAGCTAGGGA